ACCCGAGCACAAAGCTCAAAACCAATTAATCAGATACTTAAAATCAAATATTAATACTCATAGTTGAAATACTCAATTAAAACAATACGAAATACTGACATAAACTGTAACTCCCAAAGACCCGGGGGTCATGAGTCTAGAGCTTCTAACTAATACAGAGTCAAGAATCCTCAAAATAAGTATGTTCTAAAGTATGGAAATAATAAAGGAATAAGGGAGGAGTCGGGTGCTGCGGACGTCATAGCAGCTACCTCGACCACTCCTGGAACTCTGGAAACCAGCGGCTAGCTCAACTAAGCTCCCGAAGTACCTGAATCTTCACACAAGGTGCAGGGAGTAGTGGGTGAGTACTACCAACTCAGTGAGTAATAAGCATATAAAATGTCTGAAGATAAGAAATCCACGAAATGCCACAAAGTAAAGCTAAAACTAACAGTCCAACACCTAACTACGAACCAACAGCAAAACAACTTCAAATATATCAGTCAAGTATAATGTAAGGATGCAATGCAATTCACATGACCGCTACGGCGCGTAGCCCGATCCATTTAACGTCGACGGCGCTCACTGGGGGTGTGTACAGACTCCGGAGGGGCTCCTTCAGCCCAAGTGCAATATAATCATACCATTCGCTGCGGCGTGCAGCCCGATCCGTACTCAGTCCACAATATGCATATGAGTCACGTAACAGATTCAATTGATTTCCCAATTTCCAATTTATTAAGAAGAATATACTTTAGATATTTTACTTCAGGAAAATTGACTTAGCATTTCATAACAGTGATTAAACACAGGACTGAGATCAATGATTATACAAAGCATGCTATCACAATGACATTCATCCTCTAAGGATGCTACAGATCGGCACAAGGCCCCAAACACGGCAATAAGCCCAGATATATTCAATACAGGGTGCGTATCAGTCACCAATATAGAAACATTCTTGTTCGGGATGGACCAAGTCACAATCCCCAGTCATAACCAATCCCGCACCTGCCATGGGGTGCGAGTCACGCCCTACAATAGCGTCACAATGTGATAAACCGGGGTTTCAAACCCTCAGGCCATCATCTATACAAACTACTCACCTCTAACCGGCCGTAAACTGGTCCGCAATGCCTTTTCCTTTCGTATCGACCTCCTCGCGCGTCGAATCTAGTCAAAATCACAACGAATACATAAATATGGGTTAAAGAAACATAACCCAATCAAAAATACTCGAAAAGTACTAAAATTCACGAAGTTGGTAAAACCCGAGCCCCGGGCCCACTTCTCGAAAAATTCCGAAAATACCACCAACGGATTCCTCGTCTCGCCACGAGTCCATACATATAATGTTTACCGAAAACGGAGCTCAAATGGCCTTTCAAATCCTAAAAATTCGTTTTCAAAAACCAAGCCCTAGTTCTTCACAATTTCTACCCACTTTCATGAATTTGAGTGTTGATTCTTCCAAAAAATGGTGTTTTCTAGTCAAGAGACTTACCTCAAATCAATACCCGTTGAAAACCCTCTTCAAATCGCTCAAAAAGCTCTCTTGGCGGAGTAAAAATGGTGGAAAAATAATGGGTTTCGCGACTGAAATAAACCTTAAAACTATTCTGTCCGCCCAGTCTTTCCTCTATGCGATTGCAACACTGCTAATGCGATCGCATATCACAATCTCAAACCTCCCAAAAATCCCTTCTACGCGATCGCAGAACACCCCTTGCGATCGCAGAGCACTCCTTTCCTCTTCTACGCGATCGCACACCTAGCCACGCGACCCCACTGACCAAACTCCCAGACCTATGCGATTGCAGAGCCCTTTACGCGATCGCATAGTGCAAAAATATGAGCTCCCTCCAATTCTTCTATGCGATCGCAGCCCTATACTCGCGATTGCGAAGAGCTAATTTGCTCTGCAAATTTCTGCTGCATTTTTCAACATCAAAAATCCCCGTTAGCCATCCGAAATCACCCCGAGGCCCTCGGGACCTCAACCAAAAGCACCAACATACTCCAAAACATCATACAAACTTGTTTCAATCACCAAAATACGTCAAACAACACAAAAATCATCAAATTACCACGGATTCAAGCCTAAGTTAAACTAAAACTTCCGAAACTTGCATTTGATCTAAAACCCGACCTAAACACCTCGGAATGATCTGAAACTTTGCACGCATATCCAAAATCACCTAACGGAGCTGCTGCAACTCTCAGAATTCCATTCCGACCCTCGGATCAAAATCTCACTTACCATCCGGAATTCGCCAAAATTCAACCTTAGCCAATTCAAGCCTAACTCTACACCTGACCTCCAAATTGAATTCCGACATTACTCCTAAGTAACAAATCATCCCCCGAAGCTACCCGACCACCGGAACTCACATCCGAGCCCTCTAACTACATAGTCAACTTCTGGTTGACTTTTTCCAAAGCAAGCTTCCTTCAGAAAGGCTAAGTGCCATATTTCCAACTAGAACCAATCCAATTCTACCCGATTAACTCAATTACTGATATTAAATCATGGAGGGACATAATATGGGGAAACGGGACGGTAACTCACGTGACGACGAGCCGGGTCGTCACACTCGTATATTAGAGGCTCAGACTGTGACACCGGATGCTTTGGGTTGTGTAGTAGTATCTCCACTTGGATTTTCCGCATGTTTGAACTTTATTTCAGATATTCAGTATTATGACTTAGTAATTTACCTGTGTTAAATAAATTCATGAGTTGTATAAATGGTCAAGGTTATTGAATTGGTCGGGCTTGCCTAGCCATGTGTTGGGCGCCATCACGACCGGGGTTGGGGTCGTGACAGAGCATAGGTTTAGAAACCATAAATTCGTAATAAAATAAAGAGAAATCTCTTACTCAAGGTCTAGAAAATGGCCTGAGACAGGCTAACAAGCAGGATTTCAACCTAGAACTGCTTGGGTTCTTTGAGATCTTCTCAAAGATCCAAGGAATCAAAAAGCCATGGCGTGTAGAAAGCCAGGGCTGGTCGGAGAAGCCGTGGAAGCCTCATAAGGTGGAGGTTTATGCCGGTGACGGCGCTTAGAATTAGGGTTAGGTCGAGAGTGTTTGAGAGAAGACGGAGATGATGACGGCGGGTGATGGAGAGAATGAGAGGGTTTGGGAGGGGGTTAGGTCTAGGTTTAATTAAGGAAAGGGGGTTGTGGACCGTTGATCTGAATGATCAACGCTCAGGATTGAATGGGGGTCTTGGGTCGGGCAGATGCGTATTTGGGCTTAAGGGAATTGGGCCAATTTTAGAGGGGTTTTTGGGCTGGTTTAAAAAGGTTAGATCTGAAATAAAGGGCTATTTATTAAATACCCGAGCAATTTATAAAAAATATTTTATTAAACAATAAACAGATTATAAAAAATAATTTTCATGCATAGAAATGTTTTAAAACAATTACTACATATTTAGAAAATACAATGAGCTATTTTCTGATAAAATAATGTGATAATGTATACATGGGCTATAATTGCAAAGCCATTGCAATTGTAACCAAGGAGTGTAAATCTGGCCATTTGTGAAATAATTTGAACTTAATATGACTATAAATGGCAATATTAAATCATGAAATGCTATAAAGTCATTTGTGATGCAATTTTGTAATTATTTATATAAATAAAATACTAGGATAAATTAATTTAAAAAATGTAGAATTTATGGAAAAATATCAATCGATGTTAACGCATATTTTTAAAGGTAAATATGCAAAAATTATAGGAAAAAATTGGGTATCAACAGCTATCACATACTGTAAACTAAATGGCTAAGGAGACTCAAAACATAGTAATCCAACAGAGCGTTCAAATGTGGAAGCACTAAAATTTAGTTGTACTCCCTCCGTTCACTTTTACTTGTCTATTATACTAAAAATACATTTTCACTCTTACTTGTCAATTTTAGCAAATCAAAAGAAAGACAATTGTTTTTCTTGTTTTACCCTTATCATTAATTACTCATTGCCGAAATTATTTCCAACGCTTTTTAAAATACTAGTATCATTATTAAGGGTTATATGGTAAAATACATACTATAATTATTCTTATTTCTTAAGGGGCGTGAAAAATCAAAGATGGACAAGTAAAAGTGAACGAAAGGAGCATTAAACTCACTATAAGTTTTTAAAATTACATTTAATTCTTCAGAAATAAAATAAATTTTAAACATTAACAGTAACTTGGGCCAAATCCACTTGAAATAAACCAAGTTGACTGATTGAAAATATGACATTGTATAACCGCTTTCAAAATAATATATATATATATATATATATATATATATATATATATATATATATATATATATGTTTTATATAAAAAATANAATGTCCAAATTGTGGTTTCTTTAGCTTTCTGGAAACTAGACACGAAGGGCTACAACTTTTGTTTTTGAATCATCTCAAAATTCCTTGTATATCAAAAGATATAGGCTTCCGAATTTGAACCAGTGAACCTGTGCGGACCGCACAAAATCGAGTGCGGCCGCACAGCCCCCAGTGCAGACAACACAAAAACCAGTGCGGACCGCACTGGCAGGTTCAGAGATTTGCACTTCTCTGAACCTCCAATAGCCATGCTTTAAGCCTAAGACACCCCGGAACCTACCCGAAACTCACCCGAGCCCTCGGGACTCCAAACCAAATGTGCATACTAACTCAAAAACATCATATGGACCTACTCGTGCTATCACATCATCAAAATAACATGTAAAATCATGAATTAAACCAAAATAACAACCACATACTTACTATATTCAAAGGCAACCATCCACCCTATGGCAAAGATTATCCAAATCATTCTCCCACTGGTAGATTTTCTAATGGAAAATTAGTGCCAGATATATTAGCTCTCTTATTAAAACTCAAGAAAAATGGTGTTCCTCCANAAACAAAGAGATAGGAATTGTGTAGTTTTGGTAACAAATGCAATTCCTAGCTATATATATATATATATATATATATATATATATGTATTCGTGTAGTCATTAGCACCCAAGACTCCATACTAGGAATATTACAAAAAAGATAAACTTCAACATCTAATCTTCTTAGCTTATTCTTTACCCCAAATGGCAACAATAGGTGCTTTCTTCTTCATTTTCTTTACACTTTTGTTCTCAAATATCATAACTAGCCAACCAATACCAAAATTCACATCAATTCTTGTATTTGGAGACTCAACAGTGGATACTGGAAATAACAACCACATACTTACTATATTCAAAGGCAACCATCCACCCTATGGCAAAGATTATCCAAATCATTCTCCCACTGGTAGATTTTCTAATGGAAAATTAGTGCCAGATATATTAGCTCTCTTATTAAAACTCAAGAAAAATGGTGTTCCTCCATATATGCAGCCAGATTTACCAGCAAATGAATTGCTTACTGGAATTTGCTTTGCATCAGCTGGTTCAGGATATGATGAGTTAACTACTACTATTTCTGGTGCAATTCCAATGAGAAAACAGTTAGATTATTTCAAGGAGTATTTGAAGAAAATTAAAGAAGTTGTAGGAGAGTGGGAAGCTGAAAGAATAGTGAATGGTGCTTTGGTTATTGTTAGTGCTGGGACTAATGACTTTATTTTTAACTTTTATGATTTACCCAAAAGAAGGCTTCAATTCAGCTTGAGTAAGTACCAAGATTTTCTCCTAGACAAGCTGCAAAATTTTGTGAAGGTAATTAGTGTTACTCTATTGCTGAATTTTGTCACCTAACTCATCTAGAATTTTAACATTTTTATTTATTTAGTTGTATCTTTTAACACGCCTCGAGCTAGCTGGATTCTTCCCATGGTCAAATACCACTAAAAAACTGGAATTAGCTACGAACTTCATCGTTAAATCACTCGTAGCTAAGAGAATTTTTTGATAATATATGTCGTGTCGCAATCTGATCAACGAAGGGCTTTTCCATTTAGCTATAGAATTTGTCCGTTCTTAATTTCTGTTTTTTAGAAGTGCGCATAAAAATTCTTTTTTATAATAGGCGATGGTGAGACTTAAACTCAAAAAAACTATTTTTGACACAATATTAAATTGTGTGTCTAACTTATGGAAAAACTTAAACTGATAGAGGACTTTTTTATTGACTTAATTATTTCTTCTTAACATACATCTCTATGAGGGTCTATCGGAAACAGTCTCTTTGCCTTATTGGGGCAGGGGTAAGATTTGCATACACATTACCCTTCCCAGACCCCACTTTGTAGGATATATTTTATTGGGTAGTTATTGTTGTTGTTGTTGTATACATCCCTATCTTTCATCACTCTTTACTATGCATATCCGTGAGCTCTTAGCCTTTTCTGCTGTCACTCATGAAGTCCATGTTGTTTCTTTGGATATGTCAATGGATAAAAAAGGACTTTAGTGACACCAATATTATTAGTTTTGTCATATAGTCAGATTTTCTTGAGTTCGAAGGTCTATCTGAAATAGTCTTTTTATCTTTATAAGATAAGGGTAGAGTCTGCGTACATATTATTTTACCTAAACCCCGCTTGTGAAAATATACTAGGTATATTATTATTGTTACTGTTGGTATTATTTTTAATTATTCTAATGTGCGATAGTATATGATTTTCTTCAGGAACTATATGATCTTGGATGCCGTAGTATTATAGTAAATGGACTGCCACCAATTGGTTGCCTTCCAATTCAAATGACAGCAAAGTCTCCACTTCTTAGAACTTGCATAAAAAAAGAGAATTTTGATGCTCAACTTTATAATCAAAAGCTTGAGCATTTGTTACTTCAATTGCAAGCACATCTTCCTGGAAGCAAAATCTTATACGTAGACAGCTATTCTCGTGTATCAGACCTTATCAACAATCCACAAGAATATGGTAATTTTTCAATGAAGTTTAGGCATGCAAGACCATTTTGTTTCAGTTTATGTTATGTTTATTTTATATATATGACACACTTAACTTTTTAGTTTGTCCAAAGACATTTTCAAAAAATGAAAAGCTCACATATGATAATATATACTCCCTCCATTCACTTTTATTTATCATGTTTTGCTTTTCGAGAGTCAAACTGCATAAACTTTGACCAATTTAAGATGCATGTATATTTTCATCATATTGATATATGAGACGAATTACAAATTATAGTACTTTTCGTATAGTTCCGAATATCTAAATTTAATTTGAAAATACTAAAAAAAAAATAATTTAATTTAGTTTCAAAGATTAGTCAAGTTGATTCCCAAAAAGTGAAATGTGACAAGTAAAAGTGAATTGAAAGAGTATTTGTTATTAGTCCAATAGGCCGGGGATGTGACCTATATTAGCCCTCCATTGTACCCTTTCATAATTGTTCCAGTCAATCATACTACAATATGTTATTATTTCTTATACTTTGGTACAAATAATCTATTTCTTGTTCTTAAAATTGGAACAGGATTTGAGGAAATAAAAAGAGGGTGTTGTGGAAGTGGATTACTAGAAGCAGGACCCTTGTGTACAAGACTATCTCCACTGTGTTCAGATCCTTCTCAATACATATTCTTTGATAGCATTCATCCAACTGAATCAACATACTACAAGATTACTGACTACTTACTGAAGGACCTTCTCCAAAAATTCTCAAGCATTAACAGCCCTTGAATTTTCTACAAGCTATTTGTTAAATTATAGTTTGAGTTATTTTATTCAGCTATTTCTTCATTTGTTGCAATAAATAAATAAGTAGACAGATATGCCTTGAAATCCTTCTCCCAAAGTACTCTAAGCATTAGAAAACCTTGATTTTCTTTTACAAACAACTTTTGAAACTGTTGAAGTAATTAAGTTAGCATTCAACAAATGATTAATTGTAGGTGTATATTTTCCAGCTGGTTGACACCTAAACTCTTCCTTGCACATTTAACTTGCTCAATCAATATTCTCAATCACTTGGCTTCATTGGATGCACTACTAGAAATCCGCCAAAAACCGACCAAAGTTGGTCGGTTGTGGCCAATTACCGACCAAAACACGACCATTTACGTATGGACGGTATTTTGACGGTCGGAAAAGAATACCGACCAAAGTTGGACGAAATTACTGACCAACGTTGGTCGGTCAACTAGATTCAAAAAAAAAATGCAAAAAAAACCGACCAAAGTTTGTCGGTATTTTAATTATGAATCAAAAGATTCACCATCTGAAAATCGAACCGGGGTGTGTACTGTGGCAGGATACTACTCTACCACTAGACCATTGGTGCATTTTGTTTTAAGATTGTCTTTTTTATTTATTTATACTCTTTAATTGTATTTTCGCACGAAAATAACCGACCAAAGTTGATCGATTTTATTAAAAAAATAAAATTACCGACCAAAGTTGGTCGTTTTTTTAAAATGACCGGCCGAATTAACCGACTCATTTTGGTCGGTTTTTTTAATATTAATTTTTATTTATTTTAATTGAAAAACCGACCAAAGTTGGTCGGTTTCTTGAAAAATAAATTTCGCCGGACTCAAAAATAGTTTCCCGCATTTTGCGCCAAAGAAACCGACCAAAGTTGGTTGGTTTCGTAAAAAAAAAATTAAAAAAATAAAATATTTTGAAAAACCGACCAACTTTGGTCGGCTTTTTGGCCGGTTTTTTGACCGACCAAAGTTGGTCTATTTTTCTTGGTCGATTTTTGCCGAATTTCTAGTTGATGAGAGATGGTAATTCCTACTCTAATTAATTATGCGACACAACAAATATACACACTATATTTACCATTCGTAACTATATTTGAATTTTATAGCAAATCCACCTGCAGTACTAAAATAAAAGATCAATTGTATTGAACTGAAACAAGAGAGCAACAAGCTCTCGTAGCTCTGGTTGGAGCACGGGGAGAAATTCAAAAATAGCCAGATTTACCACTGGTCGTTGAAAAATAGCCAAGTTTCAAAAGTCATCGAAATTTAGCCACTTTAAATCTGAGCGAAAACACTGTTCAAAATCCGAAAAAATACGCCCGCAAATTTTACGGGAGTTCCAGCATAAGTATGCTGGAACTCCCGCAAATTTTACGGGAGTTCCAGCAAGTATAATTGTCCAGTATAATACACTGGAGTTTGGAGCACTGGTGCTCCAGTCTCCCGCAAATTTTACAGGAGTTAACAAAGTATACCGATCCAGCATAATATGCTGGAGTTCGTACACACATGCACCAGAACTCCCGTATATTATACTGGATCGGTCCCTGTTGCAGCAAAATACTGGCTATTTTTCATTGACTTGATAAACGCCGGCTATTTTTTATTGACCAGTGTGAAAACTGGCTATACCATGATATTTTCTTAGTCTACGAAGGCTCTGAGTTCGACTCTCAACTATACATTCTATAGGTTGTATCATTTGCACACACCTCCTGTATCTCGCCTTGTTTATATTCGTTGAGCGAATAAATACACTTGATACAAGTTGCATGTATTCATTGAACAGCCGGTAAGAATTGAACACTAGCTACTAAGGCTCTAAACCATAGTGTTTTATGATAACAGCTCTGCTTTATGAATTTAATATTAATTGAAGCCGTGATCACGCATAATTTTAGGGGAAGGCGATAAGACAGCTCATCTTTTGATAGAAAAAATTGTCACGCATAATCAAAGATTCTTTATCAGCCGCCATATACTTTCGTTCCATATTTAGTTAAATAATCACTTTAGTCCGTTCAGATAGAGAGAAAAGAATAGCATAATTTCAGTCCCTTGAGCCACTGACTTAATTTGCTTCACGCTCACTCCTTTACTTGTTAAGCCAACTCTCTATATCACTCTCATAATTCAGTCGCAGTCCTTAGTTAGCTTTTCAAAAAGTCCATTGAGATCACTCTGACAAAGACAACATGGTTTGGAAAAATAAAAGATTTTAGTATCTAAAACGACCAAGTGATAAGCTTTACATGGACAGACGTCTTGGCTTAAGACGGAGGGAGAAAATATTACGTATCAAAATTATGATTCTTCGCAAATTAAATATGGCTAACTCTTCTTTGTTAATTTCATCCATATACTTACAAAGAAAGTAGTACTCCAAAAAGTGGCATGGTTGATTTAATTAGAAGTCATTACTTTCAGAAATATAAGTAGAATATGGTATATATTAAGTTATGCGTAATGACCATAAAACGAAATCCTTTCAATTACACGCAGGACATATATTAAGTACGAGATTGGGCCTACATCAATATCCCAAATAAGTAAATTAAATCTCTATTAAGTAACCATTCAGAGTTCCATAGCTTCACATCAGTTGAAGCAAAGTTTACTCGAGTACTGTTTGATTCAAAAGATATTGGAACCTTATTGAACAAATCAATCAAAGAAAATGAAGGGGTAAATCTTAGTTAAACATAATAAATTCCAGATTAGTGAAATAGTCAGGAAGATTGAGATAAAAGACGAAGCAGAAGTAACGAATCTTATCGAAACTTTCCATGGTGGCTCCCATTAATCAATGGGTGAAACCTTTTTACATACATTCTTGGAGAATATTTCATTCTTTCTTTTGCTATGTAGATTACAGAAGAGAGAAAGGTAGAAAAAGAGAACTCCGCCAAAAAGCCCCCCCTTACACAATGGTTTACCCCCTTTATATATAGTTAAGGAATCCTTGACTTGTACTTGATTTGACGCTCACCATCTGCCTTGGTCGTCCCCGAGACGTTGCTTCTTCCGACTACGACGGGCATCGTGAGCACAAGATATGGAATAACCATGTTGTCCTTTGCTATCTCGCCGCTTGGACGGGACATCAATCAACTTGACGTAGCGATCAGATTTTGACCAATACAGTTAGTCCCTCCGTCTGTCGGGGTCGTCCCTGGTCGGGCCTGGCGGACGGATTATCATTGCTACAAACCTGAGAAATCTGACTACCTGCCTTTAGGTTAAGATCCTTAGGTTCAAGTGAGGTGACGGTGCTCTTTCGATGTTCTTAGACCGTTACGGCTGTTTCGGAATTGAAACGTCGTTTGAGTTGAAACGTTGTTAGTGATTGCCGCCCTTATGACACATTTTCCTAGGGAATCGAAATGTTTCATGCCCTATCGGATTCGATTGGCGACTCTTGGGTTTCGTGCTTGGGGGACTTATGTCTCTTATAAATAGAAAGAACACATCACTCGGTTGACACACTCGTTTGCCCTTTGCCTGAAAGGATTTTGCGAATATACTTTCTTCTTGAGATTTCAGGTTCTACTTGCCCCCAATTAACCGAAAACTCTCATCCTTCTTTTCTCTTTGTCTTTTTACTCTACCAAATTGACACAATGGCTGGCGATTCTTCTCGCGCTGACCTCCCTGCCACAATTCCGGCACCGGGGAATGATGCTCCGGCAACCGGAGGAATTGAAGTGGTAGAGGATGAGGAGGTCCCGTCAGTAGTCGAGATCTTGACTCGTCCTATGAAGCATGGAGCGACTTCTGTAGTCCCGGCGGGGAGGAGCCGGAACCTATCCCCTCTGTCATAAAGGAGGAGGAAATCACAGAATTGAAAACCAGGTGGGGGATTCCCCGCTATATTGAAATGCGGGCGGCGGTAGGGGACGACATAGTCCATTTTGACCGCCCTGGGTATTGCGTGTTCTACGCCTACCCCTTTCTTACTGGATACACACTTCCTCTTCCTCTCCTGGTGGCAGATTTCTGCCTTTTTTACGAGGTGTGCCTCGCTCAACTTTCACCGTACCTGTATAAGTTGTTCCTTATGCTGCTCAAGTTCGCGGAGCTCGTCGGTCGTGAGATCATTTTGGAGCACATGCTCAATATCTTCGCCCCCAGCTTATTCGCGGCACGATAATTCACATGCGCCACCGGGGGTCGAAGAGTTTGGTGGTAAAGATGGACGACAGGGCTAACCGTCGTTTCTACGAGAATTATTTCTATGTGCGGACTGAGCACCTTGTGGCAGATCCAACGGGATTTCCTAAGAAGTGGAACTTTGCGCGTAAGTTTCTATCTTCTTAGTCGGAGAGATGCCCGACCGCTTTCTGTTTAAATACTAAACCCTGTTATTTTTCTGCAGCTGCAAAAATGTCCCCTCCCCCTGTCGATGGTATCCGCGAATGGGTGAGTGCCCTACTTCCTGATACGGCGGGGGTTCGCACATGGTCGGCTTTTTACGAAAAATATGGACGCAAGCCCCTTACAGGTGAGATATCGTTTCTAAATGCTATTTCTCCTCTCTCTTTACTTGGTTTCTTATATGTTGTCTGTCGATGTCAGGGAGAGTGCGGAGAGCGAGGGCTCCTCCATTAGCCTTCCGTCAGCCTGCATCATCTGCTCGCCTTGCAACAGCATCTACTTCTCGGTCTTCATCGAGGGCTACTTCAGTTGAATCTGCGACCGTGGTTATTCCTACGGAGGTCGCTCCTCAGATTGAGGTTCTGACTTGTGCCGCTCGTCTGACGGGTGAATCCCCTCGTGCTGAGGAAGAGGAGGGGTCGTCCAAGAGGCGGCGAGTGGAGTTCAGGACAACTCCCCCGACTGTGATACTTCTGGAAGAAGATTCTCCCTCGACGGGATCTGGGGCGGGGGTTAGAACTACTCCACCTGTGGAAATGGAGTCTGCCGTTGTAGCTGCCTCGTCGACAGAGCTTCCTGCCGCCGTCGCTGATCAGCAACCTGCCATGGTGGGGGGGATCAGATTTCAGGGGCCGCCGCTGTGGCTTCAGACGGGCCTTCATCTTCCACACATGGTCGTGTTCTTTCCTCGGCCGCTGA